AACTTGAGCCTTTTCAAGGCGAGAGTGAATAGGCATTATTTAGGTGAGCAAACTCCATCGTCGACCTTATCGTCACTTTTCATCAGGTGAGATGGAGGTCAAATGTGCCCTTATATTTAGGTTTGTACATCCTATCCATGACAAGCTAGGACTCTTGCGAGTGGGTGGCAGGTTGCATAATGCTGACATTCTTTATACACAAAAACACCGTGTTATACTACCTAAAGACTCTCTTGTAACTGTCTTGCTTATCAAAAGGGAACACAAAACATTGCTACACGCGGGCCCTAGGCTTGTGCTTGCAAACTTGAATCAAAGGTTTTGGATTGTGATGGCTAGTTAGAAATTAAGAAAATTACCCATGTATGTCTTGGCCTATGGCAAGAATAGTGAAATTGTTCACAGGTGATGATAGAAAAGTAAGAGCAGTGGAAGTTAGAACTTCCAATAATAAAAGTCATGTCCGTGCCATACATAAAATTTGTATATTACCTATGGAGTGCGACTGAAACAGTTTTATATAAAATTTATTCTCTTTAGCTATAAGTGCGGCTGTGATGCCTTACAAAGTTTCGTAATTTATAAGCAATTACTTTAGGTATTCCATTAAAAAAATGTAATACTTGTACATTCTTAGGGTATCACATGCCATCCCAAGAATACATTTTCGTAGGGCTAAGAATTTATTGAGTCACTTACATATTGTGCTTACTTAATAATGTACAAGTGTGACTTTGTTTCTTAAGAAAAAGTGCTTTAGTATCTAAATTTACTCTGTACCTAAGAAATTAAGATAATTTCGTCCTTTTTGGTTAAATCGATACATTCATTGGATTATATAGTTATACAGTGTAAAACATGTATAGGGTGAAACATATATACAATGTGAAACATAATGTTAAGTTAAAGCATAATTTTCTAGGTATGTAAAATTTAAAAAAAGTCCTGTTGTTATTTAGCATTTATTAAAGTAGAGATTGTTGTCATCTTGTGAGGTGGTAGTATGTTGGGTATTTTCAATAGTTTTATTGCAATATTAACTATATAAGTAACAATTGCCGTGTGGCAACACTCTGTCTCTATTCTCTCGGTGTCGGAATAAACGTGTTGTGCAGTGATCTCGAGTTTTATTTAAATATATACCGAAGTTTCCTCCAGTGTCCTATGGCAATTAAGGCAGCTGCCGCACAATAGTTGAATATCAATTCAATACAAATTTAAATACAGTTAATAGCGACATCTCTAGCCAGGGCTGGTAGCTGTAAAGTGGCCTAACTAAGTGACGGAACACTTTCATGGATTTCTCATAGATGGCGCTACGGCTAAAAAATCGTTGAAAAACGAAATACAAAAATCCAACAACAAGCACATAGAAAAATTCGTGAAGTGCGCTGGTTAGTTCTGTAGCTTAGTTGGCATAGCGTCTGGTATGGTTTGTTAGAAGACGTTGGTTCGAATCAGGCCGTATGATTTTCATTGTTTTTAAAATGTTAACTTTTGCAGTATTTACCAAGGAATAATGAACTGTTGTGATTTATTATTATAATTCCCCAACAACAATCACGAGCACAACAGCAAAAGTTTTCATTTTATAAGTAAATTTTAGAATAAACTATCAAAAACAACCAAAATATCTTTAAGTGCCATTTTTGCAATACTATGAACATGATGTTTGGCACGTTATTGATTATCAGCATCCTAGTAGAGTGTCGTCTGTTGGTAGCACTGTGTTAGTTTAAAATAATTAATATTAAAAGCACGGACTCAGTTTCTTTATGATTTTTATCTACACACCTATCATAAACTTAGAGGATGGAAAAAAATAAAGGTAAGGAGTTGCTATCTACGGAACCTAACCGAACCAAAATTGTACCACACAAATGGCAGATTTCTTCAGTGTTGTACCATAATCATAGATAAGTCAATATCGACATGCCAATGTGTGACCTGAATGTTGAAACTGATTTTTCTGTTTCTAATTTGTATAGTTTACTGTAATCAAAGCATCAAACCAAAAGACATGTTATATTGACATATACAAGTCAGACGTTATATGTACATGATGCATTTCGACAATTTCGACATTTTCGACGTTGAAAACATAAACATTTTTTTGTCTTTGTTTAACTACTGCGTGCCGTCGTAAGCCAAAAGAGATAGCATTACATTGATTTGTGTCTAACACGGGAATCGAAAATACGTAACGTCATCTTAAATGCCAACTGTATTGATTTGGCCATTTTTGTAGTACCCTTTGATAACCATTTGTCAAAGGGAAGAACATCAAATGCTAAGACCAATGTTTGGTCAAATGTTTTAGTGATTTGTTCGCATGAATTGTAAAGAAATAGACAAACATATTGACAGTGAGAACAATTAAGTATAGATAAAAATGCGTCTCTGCAGCATTAAAGGTTGCGGCAGTAGAGAAAGCGGAAATCAACCGAATATTACATTACACCGGCATGTGTTATTTTTCTGTCTATAAATCGTACAATAGCTCAATTAGTATCATTTATTGTCTTGCCGAATTTTGCTTTGGTTACTTACAGATTGTCTCGTTTGTTAATATATTTTTAACCGACTTCAAAAAAGGAGGAGGTTCTCAATTTGACTATGTCTTTTTTTTGTATGTATGGTGCGTGATAACTCCGGTATTTGTGAACCGATTTTCATGATTCTTTTTTTGTTGGAAAGAAGGTACTTCCATAGTGGTCCCATTTCATTTTGAAGAAAATCATCCACCTTTAAGGGTGGCTGTTCACGCATGAAGATTCATTGTATAAATAGCGTCTAACTTTTATTTAGGAGCAATTATTTTAATGGTTGATTTTGCTATTTCTCCAATTCTAGGTGTTTTTCTCTCAATACACTGTGAGTAGTGAGAACCGATTATTACTATCTCCAGTGTCAAGTCCTGTATAGTGGCGAACTAGGGGATATTTCAGTAAAACTTGGCACATAGACGTAATTCCACGTACTTTTGAGGTCGGTTTTTTTAGTACTCTGTACTGAGATTATGATGGTTGTTGATAACGATTATTTTAAGATAGTGTTGTTCTTGTAAGCATACATATTATCGATATTCTGTTATTAAAACAATTGTCTACGAGGTTTTTATTTTTAAAGGCTATCTACAAATTAAAAAAAATAAGTATGTTTGGAAATTATAGGACTGCCGAATATAAACATAGGATCATAAACTATTTTCGTTTGTTCGCCTCATTTTGAAGAGACAAATTTTAATAGAACTTTGAATGTAACTATATTTACATGCATGTAATATATTACATGATAATGCAATTCTATCGTTACTTTTCTAGGTAAAACTTTATATTTAATTTTGATTAAAAAGACTTATTATTATATATTAGGTATTCTCAGTTCCTTGAAACAAAACTGACAGCGATCAACGTGTGAACAGCTCGAGATTAAATTATTAGATTCATGTTTGTTTAAAACTAAGTTCAGTGGTTAAATGAACATTTTTTTTATGACATAAGTAAATTAATTATTTGATAGCAAATAAACGTATTATTAATATATGTGATTTTATGATTATCGATAATATTACTACTGTTATATATAAGTAATTTTATTTATTTCAAAAATTTAAAGAAAGTGTTAAAGATTCACCTAAATCAAAATAACTGATATTAATTCTATTCCTTACATTTAAATGACTTACGTTACTTGGAAATCTTTTAAAAAATTCTTTCTAATATCAATCTTGGGATCTCCAGATTTAGATTACTTTTTTTTTTAATATGCTCGCAAATTACATTTTTTCTGTGCAAATTCACTTTTCGTAATATGGGAGCATTTAAAAATGCACAATAATAACTTTAAAATCTCACATTTCCGGATATTCCCATATGACATAAAACATTCCCAAATGGAATATTGATATATTTTATATACTTACTATTTATACTTTATGATATACTTTAATTTTAAACTTTTAATCATGCTTTGATTACAGTAAACTACACAAACAGAAAAATAGTTTGAACAATCAAGCTATACATTTGCATGTCGATATTGACTTGTCTATGATTATGGTACAACACTAAAGAAATCCGCCATTTGTGCTAATTTTGGTATATGTACATTGACTTACAATTATATGGACGTCGGGTCCGCGCTAAAAAGTGTCCGCACTTGTAAGGCGCTAAAATCGTATACAGAGCGTGACAGTCTTCATTTGTTCTACTGACAGCGCGATACTGCGATGACATTACAATTTAAATTTCGAATAGGTTGACTTGGGACATTTTTTTCGTGGTTTTTGTATTAGACCCGTCGTCTATTTATTTGTAAGTCAATGTATATGTAGGTACGTTTATTCCTTAGATAGGGCAACTTCTTTCATTTATTTTTTTCCATCGTCTAAGCAAATTTCACACGTAACTTGATATCAAACGACATGATAGTTGGGGTCGACTCCAGTTTGTCTATGAATTAGAAAACCTACGGTTGCGTGACGTTGCGTGACAGGCGTTACAAAAGTTTTTATTTGCCGTCATTTCGCCAGTCATAACATGCGGTTCCTGAACACATCATAGAGAGCTTATAATATGTGTATAGATAAAGCAGTGTATGTAACTGTATGTAATAATTAGGCTTTAAAACACTCGTGTGATGTTTTTACGAAGCTCACCTGTCGGCTTGCTTCATAAATCCACACTCTGGATTTAATGCCTTTCATTATGTAACAGTCACATTGAACCATTGACTTACAATTATATGGACGTCGGGTCCGCGCTAAAAAGTGTCCGCACGTAAGGCGCTAAAATCGTATACAGAGCGCGACAGTCTTCATTTGTTCTACTGACAGCGCGATACTGCGATGATATTACAATTTAAATTTCGAATAGGTTGACTTGGGACATTTTTTTCGTGGTTTTTGTATTAGACCCGTCGTCCATTTATTTGTAAGTCAATGCATTGAACTACTATATTGTATGTATTGATAATGCTTTTTTATGTGCTCTTTTCAGAGCTTGCTGATGGGATTGGTGTTAATGGCCATTGCATTCGCTACAGTGCCAATCTTAAGTATACATGGAATTCATTACGGGCTTGAGCAGATAAGATTCTTTATCGACTGCTGTAGAATAAATGACAAAGAGAACCCTCAGTGTAAAGTATCTTGTCCGCTAGATGTCCTTAACGATACTATAGAGGAATTAATGGTCCCGGTACGTTATGACAACCATATATTATATGTTTAATATGTTAAGTGTGAAGATTAATAATAAATTTTAGACGCATGATAATTCTGTTGTTCGACCGTTCAGAAAGTTTTTAGGTAATACAAGACTATTGAAGGGACTGAGCCTGATACTGAGAGCTTGGGCTAAGTGGGTTTTCCCCTGTCCTCGGATTGGTAGGAGGGGTGGGAATATTTTTTCCTCATGCCTCTGAAGAATGATTTTTTTTATTAGAATATTTAAACGTTGAGTCAATAAAAATAGTTTATACACATAATAATTTGTTTTCCTCCGATCGGAACCCGTCCGGTAGGAGGAGCGAGAATTATAAAATTTTTTAAATTGTTAAAGTATTTACTAGCATAATATTTATTTAGAAATCTATTTTTGACTGTAATTCTTCGCATTGTTCGACTTGTAGTATCAATGTTTTTTTTTTGTTTTATTGTGCTTCAATCAGTAATTTAAGTTTATTATTTAGTTTAATTTATACTAAAATAATTAAATATAATTATGAACAGATTGATGAGATCATCAGATCTGTTCATCATTACATTTGAGATCTCTTAGTAGCAGTAGAGCTCCTTGTGAAAGAGTTTGTCCTGGGTAGTACTTTACCTGTTTCTGCCGCCAAGCAGGAGTGTCAGCATTACTGCGTTCCGATTTGGAAGGATAAGGGTGCTGGTGAAATTACATGCACATGAGAATTTTCAACTTATGCTTCAGGGCGATGGGCGTTGTGGCTGCACCCCTGAGTTCTTTGGTATTTAAAGTTCTAAGCGGCACTAGAACTGTTATGGATAGGTGTGTCCCTTATCATCAGGCGCGTTGTTCGTCCCGTCACTTGGTATTATAAAAAAAAGATAAAAATAAATTACAACTGGGACTTAAAAGAAAAAAGTTCAAACCCTTTTTGTTTTGAGAACGTAGTATAATTTAATTGTAAGCAAATTGTTTTGTAAGCAAAAATTTAATTATAAGGCCACGAACTGGACGATATTGGGCGGGGCGCGGCGGGCGCGGTGGCGATAGCGATGTGTGCTAGGGTGCGGTTAAAGTGGCTTGTTCTCGACGAAAGTGACGTAACGAGAGTGTGATCGCGATGATTATACTGTGGTGTAACGTTTTTATAGTCTCTAATTATTTTATTTAATAAGAGTTATTATTGGAAAAAGAAGACGTGAACCTGCACTACAAATAAAAAAAGCAAAAAAGCGACTTTCACCAAAATTATTTATTTATTTAACTTTATTGTACAATACACTGAAGTACAAATGGCGGACTTAATGCCATAAGGCAGTCTCTACAAGTCAACTACAAGTACTACAGTCAACCATTGGGCCAAATAGAAAAAAAAAACAATAGGTTGGTGCTACACTTAAACAAGAAGAACAATATACTCGAAAGCTAATCGATAATATGTATGGTATAAATAAATCACATAATATAAACATACTTATATATAATAATAAATAGTATAATATATGTACCCAAAGCAGCATTATACAGAGTCTTGATTTTGACAACTGTCAAACAGATGCTTGCGCAACATGCGCTTGAAAGATGATTTGGTCTGAGCTTGTCTTACATGGAGCGGGAGCACGTTTCAAAGACGGATTGCATGAAGGGTAAAAGAATTAGACAAAACATTAGCGCGGTGAGAAGGAAGAGCGAGCTTAAGTCTACGGGAAGATCGAAATTCGCATCTCGGCCAAACGGTTTGAAATTGAAATGAACATTTAAGATAATCAAGTGCAGCCGGGTCGAACAAGATGGAGAAAAGAGTGGTTAAAATTCTTAAAGACCTGCGTTCACGGATGGGAAGCCAATTTAGTTGACGACGAAAAGCAGAGATGTGGTCATACTTCCGCAGGCCAAAAATAACTTTAATGCAGTTGTTAAGAAGACGATCTAATCGGTTCAAAGAGACTTGGGAGATGTTACTGTAACACACGTCAGCATAATCAATCACAGGCAACACTGGAGCTGGAACAAGGAGTGTTTTGGTTTTAATGGGAAGAAAGTTCTTAAACCTGTGTAGAGCTCTTAGTGTGTCTGTAACCCTACGACAAACAGACACCTGGGGATCAGGAGGAGGAGGAAAAGTCCCAGTCCTCATCGATTTTACTACGTGCGTGATAATAGGGAGTATACATTCTAAAATACACTACTTACGTCATCGTGCCCAACAGCATTACATTTGATTGACAAAACCACTTTCCTAATCTCATCTTCAGTTACTGAGGTGAAAATAAAAACAGAATTTGAAATTTTGGCCAGTGCTCTAATAAATGCAATACTTTGTTGTTTGGTGTTGGTGTCTAAAGTTGCAGTTTTGGCAAAGTGAGTGTTCAGCTCCTTTAAGGAGAAGGAAGAAGTTATACTGTACGAACTTTGCGGTTTACCTATACCAATGGATTTTAGGAATTTCCAGGTATTCACGGGGGATGAATGTAAAATATTTTCATAAATATGTTTACGTTTGGCGGCTATTACCATTTGCTCACGCCTATTTCTTGCAGCTTTAAAACGGAGCCAATTTTCCTCACATCGGTCGCGCTTGTATTTTCTAAACGCATGATCTCGTCTTGTCATTGCAATATCGACTGCTCGAGTTACCCACGGAGCAGGAGGGTGCATTGGTTGAGAGAACTGCGGAGTTTAGTGAAAACACCGCCTCATCGATTGTCGATGCTGACAATGTATGGCCCCAATCGTGAAACTACGTAGTTGAATCGTAACAGGCTGAGTCCTAAGTTGTTTAATTTTGTAGCTCAAGTAAATGAGGTCATGTCGTGAAAAACCTGGTGCCAACAATTGTCCAGCCTTGTCCACGTGATCAATAGAGGTGCTGTAAGATCTAGCCAGGTAGCCGACGCGTCTACGTTGTGATGACTAGGCTCAAGAGGTAGAATGGTTAAAGCTTCAGACTTAATAACTGCTTTCAAAGAGCGAACTCTCATGTTATCTTTCATGAGGTCGGTATTAAAATCGCCATGATTATTTGATGAGTGTATTCACCGCTAAGAGATGAGAGTAAAGATTCGAACGAAGATAAGTAATCTATAGAAGGAGGACAATAAATAACCCCAAGAGCCACTTTTATACTTTTTACCTTGATGTCGATGAGCAAGTGTTCCAAAGAACTGGAATATACAGAGGGAGAAGAAGAAAGAATTTTAAAAGGAATGTCATTACGGATGTAAATGGCAACGCCTACGCCACCCTTTCCCGTGGCTTAAACGTTCCGCTGAACGCACCACACCGTTCTGAATTTGCGGTGGCATTTCGATCAAATCGCGCAAGCCGCTACCCGCGTCGCTGTCTCGAGTGCGCCGTCTCTCGCTGTCGTCCAGTTTGTAGCCTAAAGTTTTTCTATGGTAACAACGGTCGATGGTGCTTTAAATGAATTGCAAAAATAATGGCATTCCGTGGCAAATTTTCTATGGCTTTAGGCGAACGTTAAATTACAAAGAGGCGCAGGATTTACACAGTGCCTTTGATAATGCTATTGCATTGATGACTAAAGGACAAAGGAAAGGATATGTTTCACCATTTTGCATCAATTACACCATCTCACATGAATATGGGAGAGTAGGTACTTGTTGTGAAATAATACATTATCTCATAAGAAAAATACATTTTACGCATTGACTTACAATTATATGGACGTCGGGTCCGCGCTAAAAAGTGTCCGAACTTATAGGGCGTTAAAATCATATACAGAGCGTCATTCACGCTTTAGTCTTCGTTTGTTCGACTGACAGCGAAGCAAGCAAAATTAGACAGTACTGCGATGACATTACAATTTCAATTCAACGTTTTAGCTTTTTCATATTCATTTACATGTCACTACGTTTAAATAAGTTGACTTGGGACATTTTTTTCGTGGTTTTTGTATTAGACCCGTCGTCCATTTATTTGTAAGTCAATGATTTTATGCCATTTTTAAGCAAAAAGATAGGTGAAGTTTATGAAAACTATAAATTATTAGGTTATAATGTCAGGTAGGTACTGATATTACTGAATTGCCCTGCGTCTAAGAAAATAATAAGTATAAGTATATTTGTTCTCATTTATTTATTAGCAAAAGTAGTGTTCATTATACATTTTATCTTATGTAATTGACTTGGGTGTTCAACATTGGAAACACATCAATTATAGTGTTGACGGCAATCGCAACAACATCATCATCCTCATCATCAACCCAATTAAATAAAGTGGATGATGTGAACTGTATGAAATTTGAGTGATTCTTCACTTTACCAAAGAATTGAGCACAAATATGGATGAAACACAAAATATGATTCACGACATAGTGACAATCGAAACATCAGAAAAAATAATACAATAAACAAAAAATATGACAGAAAGAATATAAATCTAATATAAAGCAAGGAGTTCGAGTTGGAATGCTCACATTACTGCTTGGCGGCATAAATAGGTAAGGTGGCGGTACTTCCCTGGATGAATTCTTTCACAAGGAGCTCTATTGCTACTAAACAGTGCGTTACAATGTAAGATCAAATCTTCAATACATGTTACTGCTATGCATGTCACTGCGTAATATTTATCCGCTCACGCGATACATGCAGCCGTAGACGCATACCACAGCTAGAGGTGCCGGTGATGATTTTATACCGATTTATCGGATATCGAAGTTATAACAGGTAAAAGAACTAATACTAATTGCTATTTCGGTAACTACTCTAGCAAACCATAAAGTTTTTAATGCCTGGCCTGTCATTTAAAAAAAATAAACAACTTCAAAAATACGTCACGACAATCGTGTCTGTTATTGTTTGGACTGGTGATTTCGGTGTTTATTTATTGAAAACATACCGTAAGTAGCGTTTTTTAAGTTTACCTTGAATATAAATGTTTATAAACTATACTTTAAGGAGTAATTTCATGGTAAACGTTAGAACCACTCAAACGGAATATTATCATATTTACCCAAGTACACCAAAAATTTCATTAGTGCTTTT